GATGACACTCATACCATGAAAAAAGTAAAAGGACACAAAAAGACAGAAAAGACAAAAGCAGATGTCAGAAGAGACTCTGAAACTTGCTCTTGAATGTAGGGAAGCGAAAACCAACTGAAGAAATGATGAAGTAAATGAGCTGAACAAAAAACCTCAAAGAACAACTAGCAAAGACAAAGTCAAGTATTGTAATGAAATGTGCAAAGACCCACAGTTAGAAAACCAAAAGAGAAGAACACACTCAGCATTTCTTACGCTGAAAGAACTGAAGAAAAAAATCAAGCCTCAGGTTGCAATACTGAAGAATTCTATGAGCAAAACATGAACGATACAGGAAGCATCACACGAAGATGGAAGGAATGCAGAGTCACTGTGCCAAAAAGAACTGGCCGATGTTTCACCATTTCAGGAGTATCAGATGATCAAGAACGGATGGCATTGAAGGAAGAAGTCTAAGCTGCACTGAAGGCCCTGGCTCCAAGAATTGAGAGAATACCAACTGAAATGTTTCAACAACCGGAGACAGTGCTGGAAGCACTCACTGGTCTGTGTCAAGAAATTTAGAAGACGGCTACCTGGCCAACTGATTGGAAGAGATCTAGATTTGTGCCTATTCCCAGGAAAAGTGACCAAACAGAATGTGTGAAGTATCAAACAATGCATCAATATTACATTCAAGTAAAATTCTAATGAAGATAATTCAAAAACAGCTGAAGCAGCACATAGAGAAGGCGATAACAAAAATTCAAGCCGAAGCCATAAAAAGACGTGGAACCAGGGATATCACTGGTGACATCAGATGGATTTCCACTGAAAGCAGAGAATATCAGAAAGATGTTTACTTGTGCTTTATTAACTATGCAAAGGCATTCAACTGTGTGAATAACTAATTATGGATAACACTGTGAAGAATGAGAATTGCAGAACACTCAGTTGTACTCAAGGGGAACCTTTACATAAACCAAGAGACAGTTGTTTGAACAGAACAAGGGAATACAGAATGGCTTAGTATCAGGAAAGGTGTGTGCCAGGGTTGTACCCTTTCAGCATATTTATTCAGTCTGTATGCTGAGCAAGCAATCTGAGAAGCTGAAAGAACAGGGCATCAGGATTGGAGAAAGAGTCATTAATAACATATACTATGCAGATGACAAACTTTGCTTGCTGAAAGCTAAGAGGATTTGAAACACTTGTTGAGGAAGGTCAAAGACTACAGCCTTCAGTATGGATTACAACTCAATATAAAGAAAACAAAAATCATCACAACTGGACTAATAAATAACATCATGAGAAGCAGAGAAAAGAGTGAAGTTGTTAAGGATTTCATTTTACTTGGATGCACAATCAGCACTCAAAAGAAGTCAAACAAGACATACTGCACTGGGCAAATCTGCTTCACAATACCTCCTTCTAAGTGTTAAAGAGCAAAGATGCCTCTTTGAGGACTAAGGTGAGCCTGACACAAGTGATGGCATTTTCAATCACCTCGTATGCATCTGAGAGTTGACAGTAAATAAAGAAGACCAAGAATAATTGGTGCATTTGGATGATGGTGTTGGTGAAGAAGACTGGAAGTACCATGGACTACCAGAAGAAAAAACCAATCTATTAAGAAGAAGTACCGTCAGAATGCTCCTTGGAAGCCAGGTTATTGAGCAAGGTTGCCATACTTAGGACATGTTATCAGGAATGACCAGTCTCTGGAAAAGAACATCATGCTTGGTAAAGTACAGGGTTTTTGAAAAAGAAGACCCCTCAAGGAGATGGACTGGAGTCCTGGTGTGGCGCTGTGGGTTAATGCGCAAGGTTGGCGGTTCAAGCTCACCAGTCGCTCCTCAGAAACCCTATGCAGGGTTGCTGCGGATTGGAACCAACTCATCTGCACTTACCAACACAACAAAAAGGAAGGAAATGGATTGACACCGTGGCTATCCTACTGCGCTCAAACATAATCAAGATTGTGAGAATTGCACAGAACCAGGTAGTCTTTCATTCTGTTGTCCACAGGGTCTCTACGAGTTGGAACCAATTTGATGGCACCTGTAGGATCAGCACTGGCCTTTGAACCACAAAGTTGGCAGTTCAAGCCACCGCATGGTCCTTGGAAACCCAATACAAGGTTGCAATGAGTCAGAACTGACTTGACTGCACTTAACCACAACAAAACACCATACAGTATCAAACACAGGATCATTTGGTTGATCCAAATTGCAGAGGGCTACAACCTAACAGGTAGTCTTTAGTTTAGTAGTTTGGAGAAGTACCATCAAGAAGTAGCACTGTGATTGACCTTTGAGTTGGTAGTTAAGTCTGACCTAGGGAAAAGAGAGTATAGAGTGAAATGCTGAAGATGCCCTGATTTGGTCTTCATTTCCCCAAGGACTCACAGAATCCTAAGCTCTGGAAGGGAACTTAAGTATTATTTAGACATCAGGAATCACGATTCTTCAGTGATAGTCATAAGGCCTCTGAATGCTAACAATGACAGGCCAGTCACAGTTTTATGAGAAATTTTTGTATTTTTTTGATTACTTACTTACAAAGATTTTCCTGGGGGGAAAAGAAGCACCTCTGTAATTTCTGCTTGTCAGTGCTAGTGCTGCACCTTAGTTACACGTGTTTTCCTTTCTTCTACATGACCACCTTTACCATACTGCTCAGTTCTCTTAATCCCTAAGTCGTCTCTTCTCCAGGTCAATAACTAAATGCCTACAAACTTTTCTCCAACATAAGTCAGTTTCCTGACTGATTATTATACTGTGTGTCCCACAGCAGCGTTTTTCTACATCCCTACTAAGCTATGATGTCAGTGCTGAAAGGAATTGGATTCTGATCACTTGAAGTTCAAGGAAGAGCAGACAGATGCGGACAGTGTGATTTTATTTGTGGCCACCCTGTTGACTCATGGATAAGTTCTGACTCATGTAGAACTAACACTCTTAGCACTTCCACAGGCAGTTCATCCCTATTAGTGCAAAGACTTTTCATTGTCTGTGGGCTACTGCACCAGACTGCAGAGCTGCTTGAACTGCAAGGTCGGCAGTTCAAGCTGACCAGCTGCTCCTCGGAAGCCATATACAGGGTCGCTATGGGTCGGAACCTATTTGACGGTACTTAACAACAACAACAACAACAATACTCATACACAGCATTCCTTCTGCATAAACACTGATGTTTCTCTAGAAAGGACTACTTTCCCCATTAGGAAATAAGCTTTTACGCTAAAAGAACTAAAAACTGTAATCTTTTGACCTTCCCATTTTCATTGATATACACTCTTTTGGAGCCTCTCTTCTCTGTAAGATATATATGACTTTTTGCTTAAGTTTTAAACATCTACTTTCTGAAAGCTGAGTGAAATGATACAGTATATCACTGTTTTCTTTGAGATATAAACTCCAAAATGCAATTATGACTTTCTTGCAAGGGTCCTGCTACTACTTCTCCATTACCAGAGAGTTCTTCCCTGATAATTCAGAGTATCAGTTCCTTTTTTTGCTTCCTCTATCTTCTCCAAGTTGAAAATGGCAACAAGATAAATAAATCAGATGGTAAGTTCTGCTTTTAGTGTAATTAAACTTACAAACGATATATGCATAGTTGAGGTGCACAATTACTAAAATATGGTGCATCTGTATTGAAGAAAACATGGCTTGTATCATCCATATGATTAACTAAATTACAGTAAAATTCCAAAGTAAAATGCTCAACACTAGGCATTCAACTTCAAGTTTAAATAGATCCAAAAGGACAAAGAGCTTTTTAACGTACAGCACCACCTTTCAATTCCGTCTATTTGATTTGTGGTGTTGTAGGATCAGCACTGGACTGACTGCAAACCACAAGTTAGGCAGTTCAAACCCACCAGGTGCTCCTCAGAAATCCACTGCAGGGTTGCTATGAATGCGAATCTAATGGACAGCACCAACAACAAACAAAAACATCACCTTCCATCTGTATATTTCAGCCACAATTCAATGCCAAAAGTGTCACTGCTATGTTTGAATGTATCTACTTTATTTTAGATTATCTGTTTACACTGCTTAGTATTCTGAACTGGTATATAACAATGTGTAAACGTTAGTTCTAGAACTCTGTTTGCCCTCTATTTTCTTGAGAATCCCTAGGAACCTCTTTCCACCATCACTTTTTTCTGTCGTAATTATGTTTATCTTGTTTTGCATGTACTCTTAAAAGTTTCTAAGATCATTTAGTCTTTCATTCTTCTTTCAATCTCTTATTTCCCCTTTTCTAGAACTCTTGTGCTTCTCTAAGTTGGAGTTCATTTTGCCTAGAGAGAAGGGAATAATGTTAACTGCCTGTTTTTTGTCTCTCCTCCTTTCTTAGTTTTATTTACTAAGGAAATAGCATAGGGTTGTTAGGAGCACTGAACTGGACAGCTACCATTCTTTGTTCTAGTCACACAAGTATTTTTAACTGTAGAAAACAGTAGAAGTCACCAATGTCTTTAAGCCTTAGTCAGTCATTTATAAAATGTAGTGGCTGACCTAGGTTTAAGATTTAGATGACCTCCAACCTTTCCATCATCACCAGAGATGACTCACTGCATTGGCCATGCACTTTTCCAATGAGCGGCAGCATCTCTATGAGACACTCACAGTACCCTACTGGAGACTGATGGCTAAACAGTTATCGAAAAACCTGCTGGCACAGACACCAGGTTTCCTCCTGATCAACAGAAACCTCAGCTCCAACTCATTCAGCCTTTCATTTCTTGCCTAGATGAATGTAGATAAAACTTTGAAGAACTCCATCAATATTTTCAAAACTATTGGGCATAGAGGATTTAAAACTGTTGTTGTTTTTTTAAATTATAAGATGGTTAGAGTAAGGGATGAGGCAAATCAATTGTCATTTCAATTTTTTACAATCCTTCTGTAAGTGAATTGAGGACAAAAGGTTCTGTTTCTCATTGTTTAACAAGTGAAGTGCACTGAAAGTTTGGACAGTGATAGATTCACATTAATCAGTAAGGATACAACAACAGGAAAGTGCACTGTAGGCTTCGAAAAGATGGGTAGCGATGTCCAGTCTTTTAGAATCCACGATTTGTAAGTTGTTCACCAAGGCTAACTTATGCAGATGTGGTATAACAACTGGAACGAGAAAAAAAGAAATACAGAAAACACTAAAACATTTGAAAATAATGTCATTTTAATTTATAAAATTTCATTTTAATTCTGGATGATTGAAAAAACACTACTCACATTCTAAACTTTTCATGGATGATTTATATATATATATGTTGTTGTTGTTAAGTGCCGTCGAGTCGGTTCCGACCCATAGCGACCCTGTACAGGGTTTCCAAGGGTGTAAATCCTTACGGGAGTAGAAAGCCTCATCTTTCTCCCGCGGAGCGGCTGGTAGTTTCGAACCACTGACCTTAAGGTTCGCAGCCCGATTCGTAACCACTATGCTACCAGAGCTCTCTCTCTCTATATATATATATACACCCTATTTTTAAAGTGGACTCCTGGTGTGGCATTGTGGGAGCAGCACTGGATTGTGAGCCACAAGGCCAGCAGTTCAAACCCACCAGCTGCTCCTCAGAAACCCTAAACAAGGTCGCTATGAGTTGGAAGTCACTCAACAGCACTTAACAACAACAATTGTTTTTAAATACTTTCAGAAAACTTTTACAAAATATTTTAGAGTAGATCCAAATTAAAGGGAATCATGCCTTCTCTTTTTGTATGGCGGCTTAGGACAGAAATAAGGAACTCAGGAAAAAACTAATCGGAAGTGGAAAGTTGCCATTTTAGGAAATCTCTATTGTAGGATTGAACACTGTCAGTGAGTCTCACAAAGCAAAAAGAGTTGAAAATGAGAACAACTGAATAGTGTTCCAGACAGAACAACAAACTCCTGAAATCAAAATATAGACTAAAGGTACTCCACTCCTGTGACTAAAATTAGGAAAGCAGAAAGGCCAATATGAGATGCAGTGTCCGCTATGGCTAAGAAATACGAGGGAAGAGAAATGGCTTACGATTTTCTAGAATTACTCAAGCAGCAGAAATTTCTATCCTAAATCTTCTCCTAAACAACCTTTCACTGTTATTTTAGGACCACTACTGCTGTTGTTGTTAAGTACCATTGAGTTGGTTCTGACTCATAGTGACCCTGAAAAGGATTTCCAAGGAGCGGCTGATGAGTTTGAACTGTTGACTTTGTGGTTAGCAGTCCAGTGCTTAACCTACAGTGCCACACCAGGACTCCTTTAGGACCATTATGAAAAGACTATTCCTCTCTTCTTTGTGATACAACTCCTACAAACTTAATACGTAGGTCTCTACACTGCAACTCAAACTATCAAATAAAATGGAAGAATTATTTTTAGAAGCACTTGAAAATTCTAGATAGACATTAAAATACCTTCACTATGTGTGATTTCAGAAATAAGTATGGTTTCCGAATTCCTAAAAGCAAAGGACTGCACAGACAAAGTAACTGGAGCAGAGCTTCTAACAATCCAATCGGAATCTTCCCTGATGCCATCAGTCTTTCTTTTATCTACATATGAAAAGGTTAGATACTGCCGAGAGGTATGAACTCATCAATGTGGTGTATACCAAAGACTCATTATTAACTCAATAACATGGTGTATACCAAAGACTCAGTATTAACTCAACAATGTGGTGTATACCGAAGACTCATTATTAACTCAACAACATGGTGTATACCAAAGGCTCATTATTAACTCAACAATGTGGTGTGTACCAAAGATTCAGTATTAACTCAACAATGTGGTATATACCAAAGACTCAGTTATTAACAATGTTGTGTATACCAAAGATTCAGTATTAACTCAACAACGTGGTGTATACCAAAGACTCAGTATTAACTCAACAATGTGGTGTGTACCAAAGACTCAGTATTAACTCAACAACGTGGTGTGTACCAAAGACTCAGTATTAACTCAACAATGTGATGTGTACCAAAGGCACGTTATTAACAACATGGTGTATACCAAAGGCTCATTATTAACTCAACAATGTGGTGTATACCAAAGACTCATTGCCTGTTTAGCCTATTTCCTTGCCCCAGAGCAATTCTAGCCTCAACAAAATGAGTCAGCGCACCTTCAGACCTTGTACTAGGAACACCTGTAGACCTGATGTTACATGTGGACTATCCCTGCTACTAACTAAAACAAACTCCAAACGTTTTTATCTTGGCTGGTTAATGAATTATAATATTGTTATTTTATCAACATTATTCACCCAGTGAAAAAGAATCTCATGGTTTTGTTTCTGTGATTCACTAAGCGTCTATGCCCTGAACAGGGCTTTCGGACACTGTAGACCAGATCCTAACTTCATATTTTTTTGTTGATGAGTTTGTCTTTAAAATGAAGAGACACAATTAGGCTGGACATGCACTAGTTAGTTTGTTGGAGAATCCGACTGTGAACTAGACACCAGTGTGGCCCTTTCTAGAGGATGTCAAATTTTGATAAAGTGAACGGCTAAAATCTAATAGTGATAACTGATATGCTTTTCCAGTAATGATGACTGGATGTTTTGATGCTACCTAAATAAGTCATTTTCATAAAGGCCATTGTAGTTGTTGTTAAGTGCCGTCAAGTCGGTTCTAACTCATAGCAACCCTGTATAGGGTTTCCAAGGAGCAGTGGGTGGATTTGAACCACCAACCTTGCTGTTCAAACCAACATTGCAGTTGAGTGCTCATCCTACAGCGCCACAGTAAAAGAGACACTACAGAAATGAGAAAAAAATGCTTTAAACAATCACCACACAGATCAACAGGCTGTGACTAAAACACAGAGTGATATATCAAAAGCTGAATGGCATGCTAAGTAGAAAAAACATGTATTTTTCATAAGAACATGTCTAGAAACTAAAAACTTGAAAAACAAGTCTTACAACAATCACTGGCTAGTATGAGAGACCATATTATCCATCCACTGACAATACTGAGCAATTCACAATAACCTATTTGTTTCACTTTCAGCTTTCAGTACGTTAAAGACAAAGTACAGCGAATCTTCTAGCTTTCATCTTACTACTGAGGACAAAGAGACAAAAAGATAGACAAGTACAACTTACATTCATCTCGGAATCTGGGTTCAGCATTAGGTCCAACTCTCCCAAATGTTTTTATGATCTCTGTGTGCAAAGAATGCTGGTCTTGGTACTGAGGATCTTCCAGGAAAGAAGCCAGCTGCATCTTCACTCTTTCCAGCAACTAAAAATTAGGTAATATACAGTCGTTTTAGAAAAGATTAAAAATGAGTACAGTTGTTAAAAGAGAAAGATACACATTAAACATTAAAAGATGGCTTTCAGTTGCAGGTTCAAAAAAATTAGATCAACATATTAGAAAATTGCAATTGAATAAATAATTTGGAGTCCTGGTGTGGCACTGTGGGTTAATCGACTGTAGGGTCAGTTTGAACCACAAGGTCAGCAGTTCAAAGCTCACCAACTGCTCTTTGGAAACCTATACAGGGTCACTATGAGTCAGAACCAACTCAATGGCACTTAACAACAACAATATTAGAAATCTCCAATTATGTAAATAATTGAGTCTTCGGGTTCAGAAAAACTTTTATATCTTTGTGTATGCTTATTAATGCTTAAAGGTTTTTGTGTGTGTGCATGTTTTGAGGAAAGCTTAGAAAATATAAATATTCCCTGACAAACTGTAAAATCAAAAGAAAAACTTACAAAATATTTAGGGAGAAGATAAGTTTATGATGATTTTGTACCAAGATTATAATTGTCTAAAACAGTGTAAGCTACCCGATTATTTGCCTTCTGAAAGCGATGAGTCATTAATGATTTACATCTTACTCACATTTCCCTAAAAGACATCTTTATTTTAGGATTTAAGAACATGCTGAAATTCTGCCAAGGCTGCAGAATGTTGTGTGCTCTTTTACATTGCTTCACCAGTGAAACATTTAAGGAGAAAAGCGCAAAACATTTCTTTCCACAACCTAACACAGTTGTTTAATTTTTATAATGAACAATTTTGTGTGTTTAAAACATCTTTGTGACAAAGAAAATTTGTAAAATAGTTCTTTCTTTGTAAAGAAAACCTTGCTACTGTTGTTGTTAAGTGCTGCTGAGTAGGTTCCGACTCATAGCAACCCTGTATCCAAGGAGCAGCTGATGCGCTTGACCCACCGACCTTGTGGTTCAAACCATCCTGGCAGTCCAGCACATTAACCTGCAGTGCGCCACACTTACGTGGAAAACTTGGTTTATTTGATGACATGATGAGGTAATGTATATAGAGAATAATTTACTTTCCGATCTATAGGATTTTTCATTTGTGTAAAGACAATTATAATCTGAAAATGAAGAATGACACTCGATTTTAATTTTGAGACATGCCTTTTAGTTAATGCTGCTGATAGAATTTAACAAACACATATTTAAATTAGAATCAAAACACAATCTTACAAGACTTTACAATGACTTGAGATTGCACAGTTTCATAATCTAAATGCGATCTTAAGGGAGAAGAAACTTGGTGATTCCTTGAAGCCACGGCCAGTGATGTAAACAGCCTCCACTAGGGCATTTGTAGAGCTTGAGCTAAATGACACAGCCATCATTCCATGTGTGGAACTGAGATGGATTTGTGTCTTCAAAACTGCGAAAATGGGCAACCAGGAAAGTCTGTAGACTGGCTCAACAAGCTACTGGAGAGCAGAGGGTGTGGGAACCACATCTAGACTAAAGAATCAATTAGAACCTCAATGTCCAAATGGGCTTAAAATAGAACATCTGAGGGTTATTTTCTAATTGAGAAGAAAGACTACAGATCTCTCAATGACATGAAAACACACTTTGGTTAGACTACTATGTTTTCAACGATTGACTCTCTTCTGGCCCATAACTAAGAAAATAAATGAAAGGTCCAATGCCCGTACCCTCTCCAGCCCTGGTACGTGTATGGTAATGTGTCATTACCTCAACAGTAGACAGAAATAAATTTCAAGTATTTCCTACCTCTCTTTGAATAACTGTTTCCATAATAGTGCCAAAAGCTGGAATTGTGGCAATCCTGACAGAGCTGTTAGAATAAAAAAAGATGAAGAGACTGAAACTTTCTCTGAGATGATAAATGACTATGGCTTAAATGTGTATCAAAGGTAAGTATAAGGTAAGTATACTGATTAATCTCTAGCAATGACAAAACTTAAAAGAAAAAAAAATTAAAATAAAAAAACAACAGACCAAGAAGAATGCTCAAAAAGACAGACAGGATAACTTAAGGTCGCAGTCTGTGAAACTCACAATTCTGGATCACTGGACAAGGTAACAAGGGCCGGAGCAACCCGCTTGTCAACTAACGCTTCACTCATGCCTCGAAGAGTCAGCTGCAAACCAGTCAACATGCAATAAAAAATGGTTTGGTAAAAACTGGAAACTGGAATGAGAAGTGGATTAGCTGTGACTGAGGATGGGCAGGCAGACTCACTGGCCTCTCTTGGGTTCGTCACCCACATGAGACATTAAAATGTTAAGCCTCTGGTTCATGCTACTACACTGACTGGTACAACCTGTTAGTGAGATTAGCAGAGCATCCTTTCTTGGCTTGAAAGAAACAGACCATCAGCATTCTTAGCTTTTCAAATCGTTTATCATTGTTTTTCTTCAATACACAGTGGTCTCCAAATCAGGCTTACTGTGAGGGTTGACATTCATAAAAGATACATGAATATCAATGTGATTCATGTTAAAATCAAGGAAGCATAATCCATTGTTACTATTTTTAAAGGATTTTGAATTGAAAAGCTGATGGCTATTTCTTGACAGACAAATTGTGAAAGGGATGCCGAATGTAAAAGGCAGGCACGGCACTTACATTTCAGGGTCACTGGAGAGAGTAATGAGAGCAGGAACAACCCTCTGAGCTACCAGAGTCTCATTCACCCCCTTCACCAACAGCTGATTGGTCGACACAGGGAGTAGTCACAGGAGATGCACGGAAAGAGCAAACAGTGCCGTGGGAAGGAGAAAGGCACAACCAAGAGAGAGAAAACACAATGCAAAACCAAAATTAGAAGCTAAGCCAATATTGCTACTAGAGGGCTTTACAAAGAGGGAGAATGCTTAGGAGGAAAATAAAGCTCAAACAGTCTAGCAGTCCACAAAAACAGGGCTTGTTACCAATTCAATGGCAGTTTGTCCTTCTGGTCATTGTCTATACAATTTCTATGTATAGAATGTATTTTTAAAAAGGCAATACTTGTTATTTTTTTAAAGGCCTGAAACCAAGGCACATACTGAGTTCTACGGTTAAAATTCTCCAAGTAAATCTGGTGTGATTTCATTATGACCAACAAGGTACAAACTGGACTGTTTTTTAACCAGACTCAAATAGCTAGCAGCTACCACAAAACTAACTGCTTTTGACTGTCTCACAGCAACTAAGTTGACAATACACACCGGACACCCCCAGCCTTTAGAGCACAGACACACAATGCAGCCTGATGGGACATATCACTGTGGGAATCAGATCTGGGTTCAGCTCTCCACTTATTAGCCACTTGACCTTAAGTATCTTACATAATCTTTTCAGACTCTGTTTCCTCACCTGAAAATGACCATTAGCTTGCATCTAATACTGTGTCGGAGTCCTGGTATGGCACTGTGGACTAATGTGTCAGACTGCAAAGTCATTTGAACTGCAAGGTCGGTGCTTCAAGCTCACCAGCTGCTATGGGTCAGAATCGGCACGACGGCACTCAACAACAATACTGTGTCTGACAAGGACTGGGCACTCCAGAAATGATGCTGCGAGTCCTCAAGTTTATTCTGGCTTGTAGCATCTGGAACATGTTTCCAAGGCTATCGTCTCTGTGAAACAGACTACCGTATCTTTCTTCTGCAGAGCTGCTGGTACGTTTGAACTGCCGACCTTTCATTAGCAGGTGAGTGCTTAACCACTGCACCAGCAAGGCTCCTCAAGACAGGATAGCTTTATTATTACTATGAGGACCCCAAGAATATGAAATGGAGATATTTGGAAAAAGACACTATGTAAATTTAAAAGTTTGTGGTTGGACCATACAGTTAATATTTTATTAACAGTTCTAACTCACTTTAGAATCCACTTAAAAATTCTGAAATAATTTTGATAAAAGACCAAAAGCTAATTGAGCAGGAATGAAATGACAAGAGACACTGAGGTAGGAACTACAATATTACATACAGATGTTAGGTAAAAAGAATTAGGGCAAGGAAGCTGAAATATTTCATTGTTCAATAAGCGTACTTGAATGTGCTGCTCTTTATTAATAAGCTACATCAATGAAAACAACAACACTTTCTTCTGAATCATTTTATAAATAAGATAGTTTAAATATGAATCAGTCAAAATCTACTATTTTATACCAGCCAAAAGCCTTAAACACAAACAAATAATAATAATAATAAAAAAAAAAAACAGAACCAGGATAACCTACGGAATAAAACAATTTTTCACTCTTCTGGGGTTTCTAAGCTCAATTCCTTTAGTAAGCTGGAAAGAAAAAAAAACAAACCCAGTAGATTTAAGTGCTGTCAATTATACTAGCTTTGAAGTATTATACACAAAGTATGTCATTGGATCTTTACAATCTGCTGTGAGGTAAATGCAATTATTATTAAATTTTTCATTTTCACAGATGAAGAAACTGAGGCTAAGCGAAGTGAAATCGCTTGACCGAGCTAATAAGTAGTAGAGCAAGGACACAGACGAGCCACAGACGCTTAGAGTCCAGGCCTTCTTGGAGTTGCGGACTAACGCTACAGGCTCTACTTCCTCATCCATGATCTAAGAAAAAGAGTTACCCTCCCCTTGCCAGAAATCCACTAAGTCCCAGGAGCAGTTAAGTGATTAAGTCCTTTTATAAATTAATTTCCATTAATAATTTGCTACTTTAAAAAGTAGTATACTGGCTTTTATTTAACAATGACAATAATGTGACTGACTGAGTTTCCCCTTTATGTACAGCCAATGGAAAACTCAGTGAAATTTAGAATTCCATTTTAGTAATTATCTCATATGACCTTCTTATTATATCTAATTCTTACTTTTTTCTTTATTCCTTGTAGTTTTTCTTATTTTAGCTGTCTTAATTTTTATATTTTTTATTTTGAATTAACTCATCTTTTAGGAAACAGGAATAATATAAATTATAAAGTATCAGTATCAGAAGAGATATTATGAACAATATTTATTCTTTTGATACAATTTTGTACAAAATAAGGATTCTTGGTAAAAAAGTTACTTTAATTTCTTCTACTGATCACTTTTACTTATATATATGCTAATTGAGATTTTGTCATAAACAAATTAGAAAAAAGATGGTATTAAATTTCTCTCAGTAGACTAGGAAGTCCATAACTTATCTGAGACCAGAGAACACTGAAATACGCTTCAGCACAGGCATAGTTTCTAGACACTGAGAGCAAGCAGAGAAACCCAAACCAGTCTAAAGCCATAAACAAGGCAACAGAGAAAAAGCAGAGAGAGAAGCTTCATCTCATTCATTTAAAATTTCTCATTTATGTGGTACGCTTCACTAGTATAAACATACAATTCAGAAACAAAGGGTGGAAGAGAAAGAAGCTTTTAAGGTCTTAGAATAAAATTCTAGGAAGAGAACACATTAAAGAAAGAGCTTGATGTTTAAAAGCAGGCCTTTTCTTTTGTTGGGGTCGGGCAGAAGGCTGTCTTTTATGGTAATAACGCATGCCCCTTTCTCAATATCCCTAGAAGGAATTTGCTCTAGATACCAAATCAATTTTTAAATTTAGCATTCACCTTGACAGAGAACACCTGATTCCTGGCTTATATGGGGTTGTTTTGGGGGTTTTTCTTGGCTTTGTGTTAAATTTTAAAAAATCAATTATGTATAGTAAACGAGGAAAAAAAGGATTTTCCCCTCCCAGATAATAACGTAAGTTTCATTAGATTCCATGCACCTATTTTATATATCAATGCCCTATCCTTACATCTGCAATATGTATTTTTAACGTGTGAAGAAAGTCTGAAAGTCAGAAAAAATTATAAAATTATGAGTAAATATGTGTTCCCTGTTCCGTTCTATTAATTTGTGAAGTAACAGCCTGGATGAAAAGTCTCCAATCTTGACAAGAATGTTGTTGTTGGTAAGTGCCGTTGAGTTGGTTCCGACTCATAGTGACCCTGTATAGAGTTTCTGAGGAGCAGTTGGTGGGTTTGAATTGCCAACCTTGTAGTTAACAGCTCAATGTTGGTGTTCAAATAAAAGTTCTAAAACATATACTTATATAAAAAGTATACTAAAATACAATATAATTTCTTATACAATGGGTACAAAAAATAGGCATTTTCATATTTCTCTTAGGTAGGTGGCAATTTACCATTTAGGTAAATTGCCTCTTTTATAAGGCTCTGGGTAGTTAATTTTATTTCAGATCCAATATATGAGGGAATAGCAAAGTAGCATAAATCAATAACATAAATATTTCCATATTTATAATTATTGCTTTCAAAATCCTATTCATGAATCTAATTAGCTTTTATAATGGTGAAAGAAACCCTAAATTGTTTTATTAGCTCTATACCTCAGTAAACAGAAAGAAAAGTATAGTCAGAGAGACTTACATAAGCTGGAAATGAAAATAAAAATTACGAAAGAATTTGAGAAAAGCAAATGATAATAGAATAACATTAAGGAACCAGTAAGGCTAGAACGTATTCTTAAATATGCAAAAGCTAAATGATTACATTTCTGCCCCATCACACAGTACACAACTAGAAACTGTTCAATGCCATAAGTTATATACATCAACAGACAAGATACGTAAAGTACAATTTATAAAAAAAAATTCCCAACCCTCCTTCTTCCAAAGAAAAGCATCATGATGTGAACTAACAAGCATTTGGTGACACACCTCAAACATCCTAGCAGCAGTGCACCTCACAAGGGCTGATGTATGGACAACACCATACCACAAAACCGTTAAGAGTAACTCATGGTAGGCAGGATTAGCACTGGAAGCAAAAAAAAAAAAAAACCTTATTAACAATCAGAAAAATATTCTATTTGCATAATCAGAGTTGTTGATATAATATTGATAAATATGAGCTTGCTCTGTATATTTCATAGCTCAAATATATGCAAGATTCTCTAAAACAGCAAGCCACTTTGTAAAACCGCAAACTATCATATTCAGAAATTACACTCGTAAGTTCTATAAGCATTTAGAATTGTGATAGAAATTTCACATCTGGTAGCATAAAAGTTAAAACATTAAAAAGAAAAACAAAATTCCTCTATGAAAATAAAGGAGTGCACTAGATGGGTCAGATGGGTAAATTACAACCTTTGTAGACTTTAATTTCCACATCTATACAAACCAGTATACATCTTATTTATATCTAACAGTTGTCGTAATACCAAATAAGATGAACTGGAATGATCAACATGGATGTGAAGCCGATTCAAATGTAAGATGATATTATTAATGAATGCATAAGCCTATTTTCAGTAAAGATAGAAATAAAAATTACTTTAGCAGCCAGATAATGCAATTATTAGCAAGACTAAGTAAGGAAATTAATGTAGAAAAAGGAGCCAAATGAGGTGGCTTTCACTTTGGAGCTCCTCTTTCAGTTCTGGAAAACTCAATTTTCTTCAAATACATACTTAATTTTATTTCTCCAAATAACTCAAAGAAAACATATCTATATCTTTTCCCCTACTTTTCAATCATAATGCATTGATCAAGAATATCAGCAACATACAAATAAACAAAACCAAAACTATCTTAAGTCTCAAAAACTAGATATTTGGTGTATGTGCCAATCTTTCTATACTTAAAATATGAAGGTAAATCAAAAAGTATTGCTACAAAATCATAGAAACCTTTATTTTTTGAAAAAATAAAACGTGCAGCTAATGTTTATCAACACTTCCGCCATCTAGGCCTATACACTTCTGATGGGGGTGCTTCCAGATCTTTATTCCTTCCCCAAAGAATTCTGTATTCTTTGATTTATACTACATCCAAATAGCAGTTCTGGTATCCTTGAGAGAATCAAATTGTGTTCCTTTTAGGTGTTTTTTGAGTTTAGGGAACACCTAAAGGGTTTGAAGGGACAAGTTTGAAGGGACAAGTCAGGGCTGTAGGGGTGGATGGGGTCGAAATTCTTGCAGGACAGCCTTTGCTCAAAGAATGAGGCAAAAAATTTCTTGGCACAGCTTTACAACCTTTTTTAACACCTGTTAAAACACCTTTTTTAAATGCTGTTTTCAATTTTCTGAAAATGTCTTTACTTCATTATAAGGCCCCATGATTGTCCTGGGTCCTTTGCAAAAATCTACCAAGAGCATCCCTTTGGAATTCAAAAAAACCGTCATCAAACCATCTGAGCTGATCTTTCTTCCTTTGAATGTAACTGGCCCAGCAAATCCTCTTGGAAGCGCTGTTTTGATTGGACATAACACCCTGAGCATATTGGTAGATCCAAGACTCATGCCCAATTACAAACGATACCATAAAATCATCTTCAGTAGTGTTGATCTTGCTTAAAAGACTAAGGGAAAGATCAAGTTCTTTGAGCTAGCTGATTTTTATGCAACAATCTTCCTTAGAATGGACTAAAACTAAGGCAATATAGGACTGAGAGAATTTTCTTGTCTGCTACCATCCACTGATCTCAGAGACACGGTTAAACACATTTTGTTTGTAATAAGCCCATACATGTGTGAACTAGAAACCTAGTAGCAATACTTTTTGACTTACCCTCGTATATACTCTATATTTCCAATTTATAAACTTTCTATGTCTCTCAAAAAACTGTAAGTTGTCATTTTTTACCCCAGTTCCACAAAAGAAGCCTTCAGGCTATCAAGCGGAGCATGAGATAAGGAAAGTAGAGTCATTACGTCTTCTAAGAAGCCAACCAACAGTTTTCGGTCTTCTTCCTACGGAGGAAAAAGACTGATAATGAATTTCTGAGTAATCAAGTAACACTACAAACCATAATTAGCTACAGTCAGAAAATATTACTGATTAAGAGGAAAGTATCCTAGTCTGGCAGCTATTTTAGTTAAAGACACATTCTAAGCACATCTATGATCAGAACTGTCAATATAACAATCTTGTTTCTCGAGTCTTTGATTTAGAACTGTACAGTTCAACATGGTGACCAGTAGTATCATGTTGTTATTTATTGTTGTTGTGTGCCGTGGAGTTGGTTCCAACTCATAGCGACCTTGTACAGGGTTTCCGAGGCTGTAAATCTTTACGGGAGCAGAAAGCCTCATCTTTCTCCCGCGGAACATCTGGTAGTTTTGAACTGCTGATTTTGTGGTTCGCAGCCTGATTCGTAACCACTACGCTACCAGAGTAGTATCATAGAACTATTTATATTTAAATATACATTTAGTAAACAAATGTTCAGTTCTTTAGTTGCACTAACTATAGTTCAGTGCTTAGAGCCACATGTGGCAAATGGTTACATTAGCTCAGATATAAAACATTTCCATCATCACAGAAAGTTGTATTGGACAGCGCTGACTTAGCATATTAAAAGTATATTCTTTCATTTTAATGTACTTAACCAGTTTTAATTCACGTGCATTTTGGCTCTAAGTACTTACATACAAACTAATAAAAGAGCTATTCCTAGTAGTGCAAGGTTAGTTTGAAACATGAAGTTGGAGGTTCAAGCTAGCCAGCTGCTTCGCAGAAACAGGGTCACTGTAGGTTGGAACTGACTCAACAGCACTTAACAACAACAACAGCAATATTAGGGAGGAGTCCTGAAGTGGCGCTGTAGGGTAAGGACTGGACCGCGAGGTCAGTTTGAACCACAAGGTCAGTGGTTCAAACTCACTAGCCACTCCTCGGAAACTCTATACAAAGTCTCTGTAAGTCAGAATTGACTCACCAGCACTTAACAAAAACAACAGTAGAAAGGGAGTCTGGGTGTGGTGCTAAAGGATAAGCACTGGACTGCTAACTGCAAGGTCAGAGGTTCAAATCCATCCGCCACTCCTTGGAAACCCTATACAGAATCACTGTGAGTGGGAAACTACTCTATGGCACTTAACAACAACAACAGAAAATTGATTTCCAAGAAATTATCTTTACAATATCCTAACGGTGAGAAAGTTTGCCTGCTTGATGAAAAACTTCTGTTAAAAGATTTCTGAATTCTTTTTCATATTTAAAGAAGCTCTGGTGGCACACTGATTTTAGCACTTGAATGTCAACCAAAGGATAGGCAGTTGGATCAAGGGAGACCGATACGGCAGTGTTCTTCCATAAATGACGATTTCCAGTCTTGGGAAACCCTAGCGAGCAGTTCTACTCCATCCTGTGACTTGGAATCAACATGACAGCAGGGAGTTTGCCTGTTTATTTTGTATTCCGGAACTGTTCTATTGCAGTGTCAGTGAAAGTTTACAAAACAAGTTTGTTTCTCATTTAAGAATTTATACATGGCTCATTTTCTAACATTGGTTATGATACCCTCAATGTGTCAAGCACGCTCCCCTCTTCCACCCTGGGCTCCCAATTTCCATTTGCCCAGCTTTTCTGCCTCTTACTTTCTGAAGTGACTTTTGGCAAATGCTGCCCTTTTGTTCTTGTACACTTGAATGTACTGAGGAATAAATTTCTCATTGATGTTCATTTTGGAGACCTGTTAATTATGTGGATATTAGGAGACTTCTGCGAGTGGGTTCAGTTCTAAGTTTGAAGTATGTTTAAGGGCTGTAGTCTTTATTAAACAAGTAAGTCTGGTCTTTTTAATGAGTCTGAATTTTTTTCTGCACTTTTCTCTCCTCTGACCAGGAGCTCCAATTGTAATCCCAGTCAGAGTTTTCAGTAGTGGTAATCAGGCACTTTCTAATTCTTCTAGTCTCCGGCTAATAGAGGCTGTGGTTTACATGGTCCATTAGTCCTCTGGACAAATTGTTTCCTTGACCCTTTGGTTTTCCTTACTCTTCTTTGCTCCAAACAGGAAGAGACAAACAGTTCTGTCTTAGATGGCTGGTGACAACTTTTATGGACCCCCAATCGCTATTTACCAAACCACGCTCACTGTTTCTGCCTTGATACCGACTCACAGTGGCCCTGTATAGGGTTTCTGAGGCTACAAAATTTTAGGGGAGCAGATATTATGCCAATTGACTTAGATGTCCCCCAAAACTATGGTCCTTAGCCCTCAAGGCCCATAACTCAGTCCACTAGTATTACGTTAAAAGATCAGAGTAATTTAGTTGGACTTCATGTAGTGATTCAAGACGTGCATATTCCTTAATCCAACAAACCCACACTAAGGACCTATTGTAAGGCAAACTTTACTAGGCATATTATTATGCTTTAAAATGGTATTTATGGAAAAATATGTAGACTCAAAACAGCAACAAAACTTCCAGAAATTTAAGAGGAAGAAAGACAGAAAGACCGACACTATTATACTGATTTTGTTGGAATAACTTCCAAAAGTAAAGGGAGAGGAGAGTGGTAGGTGTACTGCTGTTCCTGGCACCATGGTAAGATTTCATAACTCTCATCTCTATGAACTGAAGAACAAAACTAAAAAGATAATGGTATTTTTCTACAAACGTTTTGAAGCCACCTTGTACTTTTAAAGTTCGAACTGGAGCGTCTACTGCAAGATATCACGCATCATATTGCAGACTATCTTTGACTAACGTAAGCTATTTTGGAATAGTGTAATAAATATGAATTTATTTATGTAGCCCAATTATGCTAACTGACCACCACTTATCTGCTAGTTTGTTGTACTAAGGTGGTTTGTATACTGATTTGCTACTGGAAACTATGCCAGCGCTATTTTAATACCAGCTAGGTCAGCAATGGTGCATGGGTTTCAGAGGAGCTTCCAGACTACGACAGACTAGAGGGAGGAGAGGTAGGCGACTAGTGAAAACCTTATCAATAGCAGTGGAACTTTGTCAGATACACTGCCAGAAGTTGAGCCCCTAAGGTTGGAAGGCACTGAAAATACAACTGGGGCAAGGCTGCCTCCTCAAATCATTACGGTAGACTGCACTGACCATAACAATGGGAGTGGAGCAAGGCTTTCAGAACCTTTACAACTACAAATGAGAGCAGCTGCTGAGAATATCCATTAATAACTGGAACACGGAATGTATGAAGGATAAATCCAAGACAACTCTAAGTTGTCAAAAATTAAATTAAATATGCATAAAGATCCATATTCTAGCCACTGATGAGTTGAAATGGACTGGTATTGACCATTTTGAATCTGACAATCTTAACTATGACGGGAATGTCAAACTAAAGCAGAATGGTATCGCATTCACCATCATCAAAAAGAATTATCTTGAAAAACAACGCTGTCTGTGGTAGGATAATATCCATATGCCTACAAGAAGACCAGTTAATACCACTGTTATTCAAATTTAGGCACCAACCAATAAAGCCAGTGATGATGACATGGAACAACTCTATCACCTTCTTCAATCTGAAATCGATCAAACATGCAATCAAGAAGTAATGATAATGACTGGTGTGACTGCACTGCAAAAGCTGAAAATAAAGAAGGATCAATAGTTGGAAAATATGGCCTAGGTGACAGAAATGGTGCTGGAGATTGCAGGATAGAAGTTGGCAAGACCAACAACTTCTTCATGGCAAATAGCTTTTTTTTAAACAACATAAATGGTCCAATATACATGCACCTCACCAGACAGAATCAAATTGACTACATCTGTGGCAAGAGGTAATAGAAAAGCTCAATATCATCAGCCAAAACAAGGTCAGGGGCAGACTGTGGAACAGACCATTAATTGATCATATGCAAGTACAGGCTGAAGTTCAAGAAAATTTTTTAAAGTCCACAAGAGCCAATATGTTACCTTGACATTGTTGTTAAGTTCCATGGAGTTGGTTCAGACTCATAGCGACCCTATATGGGGTTTCTGAGGCTGTAAATCTTTACGGGAGCAGAAAGTCTCATCTTTCTCCTGTAGAACAGTTGGTAGTTTCAAATTGTTAACCGTGAGATTAGCAGCCCGATTCATAACCACTACACCACCCTGACATGTCCCCCTGGAATTTAGAGATCATCTCAAGAATCTGTTTTTGATGAATCTGTTGCCTGAAGACCAGAAGAGTTTTGGCAGGACATCAAGAATATCACATAGGAAGAAAATGACAGATCATTAAAAAGATAGGAATGAAAGAAAAGACAAAAACAGGTATCAGAAGACACTGTGAAATCTGTGCTGGAGCACAGAGAAGCTAAAGCAAATAGAAGAAATGAGGAAGTAAAAGAGCTGAATTGAAAGTTTCAAAGGGCAGCTTGAGAAAACAAAGTCAAGTATTATAATGAAACGTTCAAAGAACTGAAGTTAGAAAACCAAAAGGGAAGAACATGCTCAGCATTTCTCAAGCTGAAAGAACTGAAGAAAAAATTTAAGCCTCAACTTACTATAATGATGGGCAAAATGGAGTCCTGGTGTGGTGCTGTAGGATAAGCACTGGACTGCTAATCATAGGATGGTGGCTCAAACACTTGGAAAGCTTATACAGAGTTGCTGTAGGTTGGAACTGACTCGATGGCACCTAACAGCAACAAGAGGAAAAGTAATGAATGATGCAGAAAACATCAAAAGAAGATGGAAGGAACACACAGAGTCATTGCACCAAAAACAAATGGTCTGTGTTCAACCATTTCAAGAGACAGCATGGGATCAAGAACAGATGGTACTAAGGAAGAAGTCCGCACTGCACTGAAGGTATTGGTGAAAAAAAAAAAAAGAGACAAGATTACAGGAAATGATGGAAGACAAATTGAAATCTTTCAACAAACTGACGCAGCACTGGAGGTGCTCACTCATCTATGCCAAGAAATTTGGAAGACAGCTATGTGATCAATCAGTTGGAAGAGATCCATATTTGTGCTTGTTCCCCCCAAAAAGAGACCCAATGGATTGCCAACATTAATGAACAAAATCATTAATATCACTTGCAAGTAAAACTTTGTTGAAGATAACTTAAAAACTGTTGCACAATACACCAACAGGGAATTATCAGCAACTCAAGCTGAATTTAGAAGAGGGCATTGAGCTAGGGATACCACTGTCGACATCAGATGGATCCTGGCAGGAAGCAGAAAATACCAGAAAGATGATTACCTGTGCTTTATTGACTATGCAAAGGCTTTTCACTGTGTGGATCATGACATGTTATGGACAACATTGCATAGAAAGGGTACAGATGTTGCAGTCCTAACCCTGGTATCTGTAAACTTGACCTTGCTTGGAAATAAGAACTTTGAAAATATTATCAGTTAACATCAGGTCATACTGGGGGTTTAGTAGGTCCTAATCCAATCTGCATTCTGGTGTGGCGCTGTAAGATAAGCACTGGACTGCAAAGTCAGTTTGAATTGCAAGGTCAGCAGTTCAAATTCACCAGCCACTCCTTGGAAACCCCATAAAGGGTTGCTACGAGTTGGAACCAGCTTGATGGTGCTAATCAATGTTAACAACAATCCAATCTGAACGGTGCCCTTATAATGCTGTTGTTATGTGCTGTCGAGTCAGTTCCTATTCATAGCGACCTTCTGTAAGGTTTATGAAGAGCACCTAGGGGACAGAACCGCCAACTGTGGACCAAACCGACCTTCCAGTCCACTGCTTTTATCCCACAGCACCACACCAGAACTCTGTCCTTATAATAAAGGGGCTTCAAAAAGTTCATGGAAAAATGAAATTAACAAAACATAATGGAATTTCGTCAAGACCTTTCTGAAGCCCCCTCGTAAAAGAGGAAGAGCAACCCAAAGAACTAGAGGTGGGAAGACAGCCATGTGATGCAGTTATACTCTAGCTGCCTGCCAAGTGAAAGGGCACTGGTGGTTCTATGGCAGAATTCTCGCCTTCTACCTGGGAGCTCTGAGTATGGTTCCTGTACAATGAATAGCTGCCACCTGTGGATCCGTGGAAACTTGTGTTTTATTATGATGCAGACCAGGTTTCAGTGGTGCCTCCAGACTAAGACTGACTAAGAAGACAGGCCTAATCAACTACTTCTGAAAAAACCCTATAGATTACAGCCAGTCATGGGTATGGGGCAGGACCAAGTATTGTTTCATTCTACTTGCACAGGTTGCCATGAATTGGTAGCAGCTAACAACAACAGCATGGGAAAGGGCATATGGGACTAACATAAACCAAAAGGAACAAGAAAAGATCTTTCTGTAGCGCCTTCTGAGAAAACACAGTTCTTCTTACATCCTGCTTTGGACTACCAGCCTCCAGAGATATGAGGCAATACATTTCTGTTCTTAGTTCAGTTGTCTTCATATTGAGTCCAACTCACAGTGAGCCCATGTGTGTCTGAGGAGAAGCGCACCCCACAGGGCTGTGTCTGAGGAGAAGCGCACCCCACAGGGCTGTGTCTGAGGAGAAGCGCACCCCACAGGGCTGTGTCTGAGGAGAAGCGCACCCCACAGGGCTGTGTCTGAGAAGCACCCCCCACAGGGCTGTGTCTGAGGAGACGCGGCCCCCACAGGGTTGTGTCTGAGGAGACGCGCCCCCCACAGGGTTTACAATGGCCATGGCCTTTTGGGACAAACCACTAAGCCTTTCTTCTGAGGCATCTCTGGATGGATGCAAGCCACTGACTTTTTGGTTAGTAACCGAATACTTCATCATTTGCTTCATCCAAGGACTCCTTTCTGGTTTTATAAACACCCAATTTGTAGTGCTTTGTTAAGCTAACTAGCACAGCGGTAAAACAACTAATACAGTGGGGGTAATTTCAAGAAATCACTGAGACATGAGTTCCTCACATTTTAACGTGTACACATGCTTTATCCTGAGTTCATGTTTTCACCCTGCCGTGTGTTATTTACTTAAAATAATATAAAGTGAGTGTGGCAGTCTGTTACATAGGTGGTCACCAATGAATGAAATCTCTTGAGTAACATCCTTACTTAATCCCTCCGAGTCCCTCTGAATCCAAGCTGGATCCTAGGCTTGCTTTAGCCAGCACAAGGAAGTAGAGGGAAAACTGTGCTAATTCCAGGTCTAAGCATCTGGACATGCTAGTCAGGAGGCCATGTGGAGAGAGAGGCCTTGGGGCAACAAGAGAGGAACGCCCAGCATCCTAGCTGAGTGCCCAGCTGACAGGCCAGCATGATTACCAAAAGGATGCCTAGAGCGGAGCAATATCCAGATTGCAGAATCACGAGGAATTATGATGGTTATAGATAGCCATTATGTGCTGAGGTGGTTTCGTTATTATCCTGGTGTGGCACTGTAGAATAAGCACTGGACTACTAACTCAAAGGTTGGTGGTTCAAACCTACCAGCCACACCTTGGAAATCCTATAAAGATTCTATAGCAACAACATTATACTGTTAAAAGCCCGGATGGCGTAGCGTAGTGGGTTACTCGTTGGGCTATTAACCACTTGGTTGGCAGTTTGAACCTGCCAGCTGCTTCATGGGAAAAAGATGACGTTTTCTGCTCCCATAGGGATATACAGCCTTGGAAACCCTATTCAGTGTCACTATGAGTTGGAAGCGACTCAGCGGCACACAATAACAACAATTATGCTATTAAAAACAGTTTAAAAATAGTGAAAAAGTATTTTTCTAAAAATAATGATACAGTATTCTATAGCACTTTGCTTCACCCAACAAATACACTGTTGTTTAATTAAGAACTCATCATGAACATCAACCAAACCGTACCCAATGTACTGCTGTAAATGAAAATCCAACTCATAGAGACCCTATGTTGTTGTTAAGTGCTGTTGAGTCAGTTCTGACTCACAGCAACCCTGTATAAGGTTTCCAAGGCGCGGCTGGTGAGTTTGAACCACCGACCTTGCAGTCCAGTGCTTATCCCACAGTGCTACCCCCGGACTCCATAGTGACTCCGTAGGATGGACTATAACTGCCCTCTGTTTCCAAGGCTCTAACTTTTACAGAAGCAGAATGCCACATCTTTTTCTCATGAGGAGGAGGCTGGTGGGTTTGAACTTCTGACTGTTAATCACTATACCACCAGTGCTCCTTATGAACACAAATTGTGCTAAATAAATCTAACACTTTTAGTAAAATATCAAAAAGCACACACTCATTCAAGTAAGATTTTACTCAGGGTCTTACTACTCAAACAGGCTCCTCAATATAAATTATTTATTGAATAAAATAAACTACTTTTTCCCTTGATGGGTAACATTTTCACATATACATCCATTAAATATGCATTATACAGGTATGTTTCCAAACAGAAAATCCTTTGACTGGGCAATAAGCATGTTCCCCTTACCTGAATATAACATGTAAGAACTCCTGTTGCATAAATAGGGACGGTAGCTTTAGTGAGGACCCCATTTCCTGCTGAGGAATCTAAAAGCATTAAAAAAAACAAACCAAAAAAATCTCAGTATGTCATTTTGAGCAGAAAAAGAAAAATTCACTAATATATTTAAAATCACAACGGTTCACCAGGTTTTCAAATAAATACTATTACTTTGGAAACTACTGTGATTAAAACATTATTAGTTGTATTGGTTGGAGTTCTGGTATGGCGCTGTAGGATCAGCACCGGATTACTAACAACAAGGTCAACGGTTCAAACCCATAGCCACTCCTTGTAAACCCTATACAGTATTGCTATGAGTCGGAACCAACTCGACAGCACTTAACAATAACAAGTGGTTGTAAAAACACAGCTCAAACTATTTCCTGTATAATTAGCATACACACTTTTAATACATGGGGAAAAAATTTAGTAACCAAATGAAATGGTACACTGTACTTCCATAACCAGAAACAAGACTCCTGTCTCTCTAGTACCTATGGTAGGGAAGGCTTTCTAAAAGGCCATGCTTTCTGTTGGCACTGTTTAGTGAAATGTAAAAACACTCAGCTTAAAAGCAGACATCTAGATACTATATCTGTGTGCAGATGTTTGTTTCTAAGACCAGCCCTAAAGTCCCACCTGCATTCTTCTCAAGGTTCTCGGTTTAGCCAAAGCCCTGAGCCTGTTGTTGGAGGGAGGAGTCAGATTATGGAAAGCAGGGAGAGGGGAAATCACCCAATCACAGGCGGGTTCCCTGCTCCTATTTATAAGGGATTTGCTTCTCAATTGTCTGTATTGCTGTTGGTGTTAAGTGCCACTGAGTCAGTTCTGACCCACAGCAACCCTGCATAGGGTTTCTGAGGTTCAAGTATTGAGCTTGAATCACTGACCCTGCAGTTCAAGCTGACTTTGCTGTCCAGAGCATTAACACACAGTGCCATACCAGGACTCCTCAATAGTCTACAGATTATTGAAAGAAAAAAAAAAAAAAGTTCCAGAGAAATAATGCATTCCAAACACTGATTCTTAAAAAGGTCTTAAGGAAGCATTTGACCAAAACAAATCTGGTCTATGTTTTTAAAACCTTAAAAAGGAGACTTGATTTATTTATTCACAAAGAGTCAAAATGAAGTAGTTTTCTAAGCCACTCAAACCAAGGTAAGAATTATCTATACATTTAAAATCAACCAAGTTATAAAACAGGAGTATGTTATCGTTAAGTGCTGCTGAGTCGGTGCTGATTCACAGGGTTTCCAAGGAGAGGCTGGTAGTCTTGACCCGTCCAGTGCTTATCCCACAGACACATAACAGGACTCCAGAATCTAAATTTCCTTTATTTCACATTTTCTACAATGTTTTCCTAGAAACTAGAAAGAAATTCCAGGCCATTGGGGGAAGGGAGGAGGGTACTGTCGATCTTAAGAAAGGTCAATAAAACCTTCCCAGAAGGCTGGCACTGCTGTCCCTTCAAGCCTATCGTTTCTTTGAAAACTCGTGTCTCATTTAAACAGCATTCATGTGTACCATGAACTCTCTTTTTACAATGTTTTAATTTCATTTCCGAGTTTTCAAATGACTAAAATTATGTATAAGAGGCAAGTTTATTTTGTACTTTCCAGTATCTTAAATATTACTTCAAACCTCAAAATATTACTTCAAACCTCCAAGGGTACAAGTTATAGTTTTAAGAAATTCAACCTTAGGTCAATGTAGTTGCAATGAAGGTAGTTGTGGTATTGTTAGGTGCCTATGGGTCCATTTTTGACTCATGGTGACTTATGTGAGAGAGCAGAGCTGCCCTTACAAGGTTTCCTTGCCTGTTAAGTTTTTTTGTTTTTATATATTTTGTTTTCTAAAATATTATTTTTACTAACTTATTTTTAGGTGATGGAGCTCTGGTAACAAAGTGGTTACAAATCGGGCTGTGAACCTTAAGGTCAGCAGTTCTAAACTACCAGCTGTTCCACGGGAGAAAGATGAGGCTTTCTGCTCTTGTAAAGATTTACAGCCTCAGAAACCCTGTACAGACTCCACGGCACATCACCACCACCACCATTTTTAGGTGAGGGTTAAAAAGTGAATTGGGTTTACATTTAGTAAATTTTATATAAATTATTCTGTGAACTAGTTACTGTTTTCACACTGTCTCAGCATTCTTACTATTTTCATTCTGTTTGCTCTGTTTTCATAGATCTAGCTTCCCTTTCCCTCCTTGCCTTCTCACCTTTTCTTTTGGGTAAATTGTGAATGTTTGATCTCATGCATTAATCACAGCTGATATTGTTTAACAGTCCAATCAAGTGTTTAGCTGAAAACTGGTGGGAATGCTTTCAGTTCTAGGTTAAAACGATACTGAAGGGTAATCATATGGCTTTGTCCAGTCTCCATCAGTTTTATAAGTCTAACCTTTTTTTTATGAATTTGAGTTTTTTTGTACATTTTTCTCCCATTCTAACTACGACCGTCTATTTTGTCCCTGGTCACCATCTGGTTCTTCCAGACTCAGACTAGAAGAGGCTGTAGTTAGTATGGGTATTAGTCCTATGGACGAGCTTCTTCTCTGAGTTTCTGGTGTCTTTCATTCTCTCTAACTCCAGATATAGTATTGACATTTTCATAATGTTAACTCTTCTAATCCATGAGCATGAAATGCTTAGATCTCTTTTAGTTTCTTGTAGTAGTGTTTTATAGTTTTCCTTGTCTAAGTCTTTTATGTCCCGGGTTAAATTTTGTCCTAGGTATCTAAACCTTGGGGAACTATTATAAATGGTACTGATATCTTGATTTCCTTGTCAGAGTCCTACTTGTTAGTAGAGAATCCCAGCTGAGTTTTGTATGTTGATTTTATACTCTGTCAATTCACCAAACTCTTCTATTAGTTCCAATAACTTTTTTTGTGTGCTCTGAGATTTTCTATGTGAAGGACCAAGTCACATGCATATTAAGGACAGTTTTACTTCTTCCTTTCCAATTTGGATATCATTTATTTCCCTTTCTTGTCTTATTGCTCAAACTGGGACTTCAAGTACAATATAAAATAAAAGTGGTGAGAATGGACGCCCTTGTCTCATTCTCAGAGGATGCTCTCAGTTTTTCTCTATGAAAAGTAATGTTGGCTGTCGATTGTGCACACATGCCATTGATTAGGTTGAAGAATCTTCCTTATCTTCCTATTTTGCTGAGCATTTTTATCAGAAAAGAGTGCTGGATTTTATCACGTGTTTTCTGCACTGACTGAAATGATCATGTGATCTTTTCCTTTATGTGGTGAATTATTACATTGATTAATTTTCTAATACTGAAACATCCTAGCTACCTTGATATGTATCCCATTTGATTGCTACTGAAATCAGTTGACTAGAATTCTGTTGAGTCTGTATTCATTAGGGATATTGGCTTTTAATTTTCTTTTCTGGTGGTGTCTTTGCCTGACTTTGGTATCAGGGTCATGCTGACTTCACAGAATGATTAGGAAGTATTCCTTCCTTCTCTATGATTCAGAATAGTCTGAGTAGAATTAGTATCAACTCCTCATTGGCTATAACCAGTGAGTGACCAGCTTTTTCTCCTGTAGAGAAGCTGGCTAGGTTTGATGTTAAAACAGCCAACAAAGGTAGACATTTATAATCAAACTGAAGGACCAACTTAGAACCACCTCATGGGAAGGATATTAAAAGAAACACAGTTGTAAAATCAAGAAAAGGTTTTCCTTTTCAACTGTACTTGCTATTTCAATTTATGCAATTTATATATACCAATTAAAACATTTTTCCTAAGCAAAGAAGTTCAATTGTTTTTAAAAGCAATAACAAACAACTTACCAATATTTTCTTCAGACAGTCTTAAAATCTCCTGGAACTGAGGTTTTACCTACATAATCAAAGAAAAGATCCAAAAGGTATCAGGTGCAGCAAACTAATTAATGATTATATAAATAAAATGCTTCTTTCTTTAGACTCTATTTTGTTTTACAAAATGCTCATTCAGGTGGTAAGAAATAGAATTCTTTCTTAATTTAGAGGCTTAGGTTAAAAGAAGAATTAAGTTAATAAAAATAATACTTTCAAAAATAAAATTTGAAGAAATTAAAAAAAGAAAACACTGCAAGTCAGTAAATATATTGTTTCCTTCACTAAATTAAAATAATTTCTAAGATGATTGTAAATGCTTGAAATCCTAAAATTGAACCTGGTGATAGAAAATGATATTATATGATTAGAATTACTAGGAAAAAAAAAATAAAACATTCATCTGGATTTAAAAGAAACTCCATTCATTAAGACTGTCTATAAGGAGCTCTGGTAGCGTAGTAGTTACGAATCGGGCTGCGAACCGCAAGGTCAGCAGTTTGAAACTACCAGCTGTTCCGTGGGAGAAAGATGAGGCTTTCTGCTCCCGTAAAGATTTACAGCCTCGGAAACCCTGAACAGGGTCGTTATGAGTCGGAACCGACACCACGGCACATAACAACAACAACATAAGTATTCATTATATCCTATCCATTACATCATACCATACTAAATGACTACAACTAGTCTTTTATAATAACTTCCTTAAAATTTAAATTTAAACATCAAATACAGACTTTAAATATAATATTTTCAATTACAGCAAGTACTTGTCTCAGTTTTTTTATCAGTGAAGTTACAACAGCTTCCAGGCTATGTGTCAACCACTTAACTATTCAGTGATTAAATGGCTTCTGATTTGGTTTTCTTGGGAAAAAAAAAAAGACAGATACTTCTTCAGGAGATGAAAAAAAAAAAAAAAAAAAAACCTTGCCAATCCTGCTAAAAGTAAAATCAAAATATATTTGTTTCCTTTACAGTAATATGAAGCTCTATTTTCGTCTGTTTCTGTAAATATTTACAGCCTTGGAAGCCCTACTTAAAGTCAGTTTGAGTCAGATCTATGGTAGTTTATTGGGCAAAATTGTGTATGGTAGTGGGCCTAGGTTTGTCAGGAATATCACATTTAAAATTCATATATGCAGCTTAAACTGAGGGGTAGCTCATTATTAAAAGATTAAGCTATAGAATCAAACTTATATAATGAAAAGACACTTGTGGCCATTTCTTCCATTTCAGATCCCAGAAAATTAAGGTTAGATTAATTAACTTATTTTTTTGAAGATCAGAGATATTAGCAGATAATAGGTCTGTAACCCAAGTCTTATGACTTTTACCCAGTAAACTATACCACACTAAAATGTTTTGAAAACTATATATTTGATAATAGATAGATGTATTAATACCTTTTAAATTTCTTGATCAATGTTTGATTATAGGAGCCAAATTTTTTTATGGTTTTACTAAGTCTCTAAAAGTTTCTTGTTGTTAAATACCATTCAGTCAGTTCTGACTCATAGAGGCCCTGTCAGGGCTTCCAAGGAGCGGCTAGTGGCTTTGAGCCACCAACCTTGTGGTTACCAGTCTAGTGCTGATTCTATAGCACCACACCAATATGCTCAAGACAAATGGCTGAACAGGATTAAAGAAGAAATTGGGATTTAAGAAAATTCTAATTTTAATATCCTCAACTATCAAATAACCAGTATAGGCAAATGTGATGAACGATAGTGATGGAAATATGTAGTATTTATCTTGAGAGTCCATGTTCTAAGAGGCAGTATCCATACAGCAAGTCTTATTATAAACTACTGTGGTTCCGTTCCACAGTGTCCTGAGGAAACAGCTGTTTCCTGAGCTGTGGCAGAGGGTAAAGGACCAGTAGCATATCCAAAGGACTGTGGCTGGGTTTGCAAGTTGGTACCATCTATACTGAAAATCTGTGAGATGTCCAGAGTAGGCCTTACTTCCAAGTCTGGAGACAAACTCAAATTACACTGCAGCATCTTGTAATAATCAATAAAGAGAAGATCATTCTCTGATATATAAGATGATAAGAGAAAGGTCTCATGTTTCTGTTCTGGTACAGCATTACGTAACACATTACAATTTTTATGTCTCCTGAATATGAAAAATGATAGAACACAAGTATTTACCTTAGTGTTTGTAAAAATTTTGCCAAACGTTCGGCAAAGTCGCCAGAAAAATCTGGAGAATTCATGGACACAAGCAGTTGAAGTAACATTAATTTTGCCAACTATTTCTATAAGTTGGGGCAACCTAAATATGAAAGGAAAGAAAAAGAGGCAGAGGATTCATATAAATGACTGTTTTCCTTGCTAATTTCTGAAACCACATAATTAAATAACCTCATTTTATCTTTAATGGTCAGTAAAACTGGAAAGCAAAGCAGTTGTTTTGAATTCACTGAAAAAGATTACAGTCTACTCTATACATTTCTTAAAACAACTTTTAACTGCCAGAAAATATCTGCAACAATAATGAAACCATTCTGAGTATGGGATTAATAAGATTGACATTTACACATTAGATTCCCATTAAGCTTCACACAGAAGAAAATCAACATGGCATCAATTTTGGGCTAAAAAATGAGAAGTCTGGATGTGTGCTAGTTCAAATTCATTACCACCACTGGACAAGCAAGTCAGCAGATATGTCCTACTGACATAATACGGGAGCACCATCTTCATAAATAAATAACAACATATCCAGCGGGGCATGAATCTCTTTTCCTAAAGTTTACCATAGATGATACCATGTTACAGTCTGTTAGGTTTTTATATTTTGGCTCTCAGTGCTCCAGCTATTGCTCATTCAACTGAGTTAGATGCATCACATAAATACGTGCAACTTACAATTGATTGACAACCCATAGTAAACTCTCCCAGCCTGTTGTACCCTCGTGTTCCAGCTGGTAATCATACAGTTGCAGCAGTACTGCCAGCTGCTCACGACTTCCAATGACAGTAGATACATCTTGAAGAGGCGACATAGGCCGGGGAAACCTAGTGACTATACATAATAAAAGTAAGATAAATAACAAAATGGCAGCTTGGGAACTTACTTATTGTATCAAAGGGAAAACAGGCTCTACTACCCTCATTTTTTATTAATATTTCATGATGAACTTAAGAAAAAATAACAAACTTAAACACAGTAATCAAATAACTTTTAAAAATAACTACGAAATTAACCACTGGTACCCTGAGGGAACTGCAATCATTGTAATGAATGAAGCAAAGTATATCACTTGTTGAATGTAAAACTGATGATGTGCTCTGTAAGCCTTCACTCAAATCACAGGAAAAGGTTTTTAAAAAGACCCATATGAAATCTGGTCACATGCAAACAAATCTAATAAAAAGGACTTCACATACTTCAATGATGTAACTGCTATGGAAGAATAAAATTTCATTTAAATTAACATTGGACCAAAGATAAAATTCTTTACTTAACTATAGATTTGAATTTGATTAAAATAAAATAAAAACATTTGTAATTCCATCAGTCTGTTTTTATCAATGAAAAAGTAAATATAACGTTTTCTTCCAGGAGTAAGACACTATTAACAGTAGATAAAAAGCTGTTTTTCCTACCAGAGAATAATGATATAAAATACAATAAAGGTTGAGCTGAACATATTTCATTAGTACTTATAATCTCCACTGTCAACTATTTTATTTTCTTAAATTTCTACTGTTTGATAAATATTAAGTTTAAATAAAATGCTAAAGCCATTGACCAATAATATAATGCAAGGTATACTATACATATTAAAACTTTTGTTGTTGTTAAGTGCTGTTGAGTTGGTTCCGACTCATAACAACTCTGTACACGGTTTCTGAGGGCTTTAAATCTTCACTGGAGTAGAAAGCCTGATCTTTCTCCTGAGGATCTCGAACCCAGGACCTTTTGGTTTGCTGTCTAGTGCTTATCATATGGAGCCACTGCACTCCCAAAGATTAAAACTAGGGTCCCATTTTGAAGATTTGGGGAGAAACTTTTAAAGATTTACTCTCAAAAGTATGTTT